TTATTCTACCGTAGTGCATTTTGGGATTGCTCTGTACCATTTGCTTTGTGGTTGTTTTTTTTTCCCCAGCTGGCTCTGTCACCAACTGCACGAAATCCAAATGAACCTGTGTCATTGTCTACTGACACGCATTTGGCGATGAAGGTTGAGGGCGTTATACAGCACGGCAGCAAGCCAGGTGAGAATATGGCATTGTTTTAATTATTTTTCATAGGCTGCGTGTGCTATCCTTATAACTACTGAGGGCACTGTTGTTGCCTGCCTGCAAGAGCCAAAAGAAATGTTCATAGTTCAGGGGGAGTGAATGCCATTTGGCCTGTATAAAGTTGACACAGCTAATTTCAGACTGAGTTTGCGTAGAATTGGAGCCAAAAAACCACTGGGTACCGTTTTCAAATCAGTGCAAAGGAGACATTCTGTCACGTTGTTGTCGTTTTAAACTCCAGAATCCATTTTTGTTGAGGTAACTGATGTGAGTGATATTTTTTCTTATCTAATAACTACTGATCTTGTTCTGAATTCTCCAGGCCTGTTCCGGAAGGTCAGCAAGGTGAAGCTGGCCGTTACTTCATCCTGCACTACTGCTAAGACAACAGGTCTTGGCAAATCCAGCGAGGTAAGCTGAAGGGATGCAAAGGGCCAGGCCCAAGCTCTGCATGGTACAGAAACTGGCCAGCAATGGAAACCTTTCTCTATAATGATCATTGGGTTAAGTGCTGTCTGATTTCATGTGTTTGATTTCCCCAGCTGAATGTTGCTCACGACCCAAATGTGAAGATAGTACGAGTTTACAAAATCTGACTCTGTTGCTTTCACTGTAGTGAACTTAAAGCATAAGTTGAGAATTTCACCAGTCATAATTACCGTAACGGTGAAATCGTGATACCATAAAAATACATTCCCAACTAGAAGTCCTGCAAACTTGTGAATTTGTACTAGAGACTGCTCAGTGAAGATTTCCTACATCCAGTAACTTACAGCAGGACTTCTTGACGGGTAATTTGGATTACATTTCTCTGCTCAGTCCGACAGCGGTACCAGTGAAGGCACATGGTACACAGAGCCCCACCACGACTACTTCAGCATTCAGATCCTGTTGTCCCTGCCCGTGGTCGGCACCCACACCATCAACGTAGAGGCCAGTGTGGTGGACGAAGATGGCAGCTGCTGGCAGACGGGGCCCAGGCTGAGCCTGCTGGTCAAGACATACGAGGAGCTGTCCCTGCAGCAGCGTCAACAGCAGGCCAGTCAGCAGACCGCTGGGGGTAGATGAGGAACGGGTCGGTGTGGGCAAGCGGAGATCTGAGGCTTACATTGTTTGTCAATACATAAACATAATGGAATGTATCGCCAAGTACCGTTCCACTGTGGCATGAACTACACGCTGGCCAGCAATCCTTACTCACCAGTAAACTACATGTGTTCTGGGATGATCACCTCATATACGAGAACAAAATCATAGGCTCTGAAAAAGAGTTGAGGTTACTTTTCCTTCAGAGCAAATCATAACACAAAAGAGGCATACTTCGGGCAACAAGTTCCATGGATGCCAAAAACAAATGACTTGAAAGAGCTCTTTGTTGGACAGTGATCTTGGCAATTCCAGTTACGACAGTTGTCACAAACACCAGATTTTTCAGGCCAGGTCCTTTGAGGCAGGTTGTAGAAAGTAGCAACGTTGTCTTGGCTTCCATTCAAGACAGTGCACAATCCGATGTGCGTGCAGCCACCGTTAAGCATAGCCAGAGCATATGACCATTTCTCGACAGCCTGTGATAGTTTGCAGGATCTGCACATGAAATAATTCATAGTGTATGTAATTTGTGTGTTCTTAACTGGGGGTAAAAAAAGTACACATATATCACTACTGGGTTTTTTTTTTTTTTTTATTTTGATCAGAAAGATAGCTATATTGACAGGGCACTGTATGACCAAAAAGATCTGGTAAGCTTAGATTAATCCTACTTTTTATACAGGCATGCACAATAAATATCACTTTTTTTCATTCTTTTCAGTCGTATAATTCCATCAATGTGATCCTTTGGTCTCAAGATTCAGGTTTAACTAATCCTTTGGTGACAAACTGGTTTTCAAAGTTTGTGTAATTTTGAAAAGACTTTGAGGGAATCACTCTGTTGTAAGATCACACTAATGACCATCAGGTTGCCATTTACATGTATAAGCATTGCCAAGGGAAGCAATTTTTCACACTCCTGCCCACAAATGAACAAGAATTGAATGTTATAATGAACAAAACAGTAGAGACTGCAGTACTATCAGTTTAAAAATTCTGTCTCATCGTTTTGAATCCCATTTTGTTGCAGTGCCCACCGGTTAAACTCGGGAGACTCTGCCTGGCCATATCTTCTTTTCCTTTTCTTGTTCTTTCCAAAATATCAGTTAGGCCTACACTCTTTGCAAACACTAGTTTCTCGCAATGCCTAGTTTTTGTGTTTTTTTACCTTAGTTGAAAAGTGTATACTTGTATGTGTAACAAAAATATCAGATGGTAGCGTCTTGAACCAAGACTATTAAAAGCTCTTCCTCCTCACATTGTTGACATGGCCCAGTTATATAATCTTTCCCAAGGGATGTGCAAGCACTATGGTACACGCATGCTGGATACCACTTAACACACCACCCACTACATAAAGTACCTGTTCATGAGGAGTGATAACTCTCTATGTTTGATTGAAATTTCAAGCTCGCTTTTGGGAAATAGGTTTACCGTCATTAACAAAATAAAGACAACACTAACTTTTATGAGTCAAAGCTTCCCTTCACAAATCACAGGCATGTCAGGCCACCTCGGTCTGACAAGAGACTGTCTAAGCCATCCAAATTTGTAGCGTGCTTACGACAGACGATGTGTCCCTGTGAAATGTTGCGTGTTGATATGCACCCCTTGACTGCCCGGCAAAGCAGCCAGCCTTGGCTCATCTGTCTCACAGCAAACATCACACAACTCTCTCAAAAAATTACAACTTCATTCTTTGATATCGCATATATTAATGTTTCCAGCAGTAAAGACTCAGCTGGCTTACTTTTTCAATATGGGAAGTTGGTGCTGCGTGACCCAAGCACATGATTTGGAAGGCACCTGGTATAATGCCGAGTTACTTTGCCTTAAAACCTCAGCCTCCAAATCCCAACAGTTGCAATTTCGGAATATGCATACAAGTCAAACACACTGAAAAACATTTCAACCTTTGCAGATCAATCCAAATATTGGGACAAAGTCTTTCAGCAAGAAGTACTGCAAGGGATTACAGACTTTGTGGGAAGAGTCAGAAAAAGTATCACCCCTAACTGTTGATACCCTCTTAACCTACGTAAGTAAAAAAAAATATACAAAATGGACCGCCTCATACTTCTATAGCTGTCTTCAGTTCTTGTAAAACTCCCTGCAATTCAGACTCCATACACAACAGTAAACCTGTTAAAAAGAAAGAAGCAACAGGGGATACCATCATTCTTTACTTCAAAAACTCAAAAGTGCGGTGAATTGTAATAAATACCGAGTATTTCAACATGGACTTAAGATAATGATGACCCTGACAACTCAAACAAGATGAGACCGTGGGGGCCTTCACAGATGTTGTTAGTTTAATAATGAAAAACAAATGTGTTTCTTTAAAGCTGTAAAATTATGGTGGACTTGGTAGGTTTCACAGTTGAATAGTAACTTCAGAGTAATTCATCTGTGAAGCAAAAATCCTGTTGGTTTCTGCATCTATGCATTATAAACACAGCCCTTTCAAAACTTCCCAATATTTCTAAAATCCACCACTGGACGTGAGCACGAAACCCCCTTTTTAATGAAACTCTCAAGGGGCATTAAGCCCTGTCTAAAATAACAGTGGCTGGGCTCTACCTTCCTCAGTGGATTTTGGAGAATCTGGAAGGTTTAGAGTTATGACCCCTGACTCTGTTAGAGCTCTAACGACATTTTCTTACCTGTGTTTGCTGTACTACTGGCAATTAGGCTGATGACCAATGGAAGTTCGTTGAACTGCACCACCTGAATATGATAAAAGTCAGTAAATCAACATGGGCTCCAAAGAAATGGTCAGGGGCATTGTAAACCCAAACCAAGATGGTGGTGCGAAGGAACAAAACCACTGTTTCCCAATCTCTCTTCAGCCAACAGTGGTTTGGAGTATCTAGAACAGCAGTACACCCAGATTAATGAAAGAAAGCTGCCTAAAAACACAAGTTCATAAACAGGAGCAATTCAGCTCAGCAAAGAAACTGCAAGACGGTGCCATTTATGCCATTAACCATGTGCTGCTGGGTTTAATTTGAAGTTGCATGACGTACTCCCAGGGGATTTTCAAGATTTTCAAAAAACTCATAACTTCATTTACTGGACGTTTACACCCACACGAATGACTGTCTGGTGGCTACTCTAATCTGACAGACAACATCTATTGACGCCCTTGTAAAGAGAGCCCAGATTGTGCGGTGTTAAGTAACTTTCTTTTGTTCCCGAAAGTGGCCCGGGTGCTGCTGGTATCTTTTCTAATGCGGACCAGATTAACGTGCAGCGGAATTGTATCCCTCGTCCCTGGAGCGCTTCTGTTCCGGTGGTAATCCGCTCGCGCTGAATGCCACAAACAGTGGTACAATCATTCAAAACAATGACGGAATGACTGAAAAAATGTTGCCAATTCCCAGCAGCTCAGTCTTCTGTTCTAAGTACGGTCTTTTGCGTATAAAGCACCCCAGCACGAAATGGTTAAGTGTAAAATTTAGAAATACTTTTTTCCTCCATTTCAAGAGACATTTTGATCAGTTATAATCTAAAAGAGAGGCACATCACAGTGATTAAAACACTGTGGATAGTTTGGACTTGAAAGAGCGTTCACCTACTTGATAGGCGCCATACATGCAGATGATGCTCTTGTTGTGTGACAAGCCCAGCTTACTGGCTTGATCCGCTGCCATGGCAAAGGTTGCTAGGAAGGCAGGCTTCAACGCATGCTCGGGGACAGCCTCAGAGGTCACTGCAGTCACACAAGGCAAAGCATAGGCTAGTTACAGGCTATCCCAAGATATGCCCCTCCTGTGGAGGCACCATAACTACGTCATGTCAGTGCATGAATTTTGGTAAATTGAGTTATGGCTTCTAATTGTGGTTGCTTGAGTGGTATACGACAAGTGTTCACAATTTGATTTTAAAAAACTGTGACATCTAGTAAGTCCATCAATCTTGCTGGATATCATACAAATTGGGGGACTAAGTGCTGACTAGCTTTACTGCACACCAATTCTCTGAGCCTCAAGTGATAGGTGCATGTACCGGCAAGGGTGTCACTGTGTTTGAATTGTTTAACTTCTTTGTCCCTTTGGTGAGCCATTATTTTTACGTGTACCTTAACCCCTTCGCGCCGGGACGTGGCTAGAGCCGCCGTAAAAATTGAGATTCGCAGCCCGCTTTTCAGCTATTATTCTCGGCCCACGCTTGAGCGAACAGGGTGAAAGAAGGCAGACCCTGGCTCTTGTATATATGGTGATTGGCCTTTGTGTGTAGCCCAAAAATGAAAGACCGAATTTGCATCATAATCACCAGCTTCACAATAGTCCCCACTTTGAAAAGAGGCAACAGGAATGTGGAAGCGTGAGTAGAGCCGCATGCCACCAAACAATCAGCCTTTTCACTGTGCAAATCAAAGCGTGCAGAGCAGGCTGGGCCACAAACCGAGAATTTACGGCTTGGCAGGTGGCATTCGTGGCCAAGCGAGACTGGAATTCTTGGAGTCGGCTTTCGGAAAGAAATTCCCGTCGTCAAGGGGTTAACAACACCTAACTGTATTGCAATTACTTGTTTACTGTCATCTGTGTACATACTATGAATGAATGATGGGACTTGGGTGATTTCAGAATGATTTGATGCAACAACTCTTCAGTCTATGATTTTGAAGTTTGAAGTTCAATCTGCTCAGCATCCTATCCGACATCGGCATGGTCTTACACTGTTCAACACTGGATCACGGTGCCTATGTCCTTAGGCAACATACTTTACCCCAAATCCTACTGTTCCCAAAGGAGGAACTGAATAGACTTTTGGCTTTGGGGAGATAGTTTCAAATCGAGGCTACATACCTTTAATGACTGGTACTCCATCTCTGTCGGTTATAATAATTGCCTCCAGACCTTCGACCCTAATGGAAAAGGAAACGAGGAAACTTTTTGAGTTCTTGTCATGCTTTCTATTCTTTCCCTTGTTTAAACTCTAAACAGCAGGATTTCTATGTAGATTGACTGATGGACACCAATTTTATGTATTTTTTCATGTGCAAATGATTCGTGAAAATCAAGATCGGTCACTTCACTAGTACAGCCCCACAGTGCTACATTTACATGTGAAACAGTCCTTCATGTCATCAAATGTGCTGGTAAACATAACTACATATAACAACATCATGCAAAAATGCTTGTGCCATGAATTCAAACATGTTTTTTCCCCACCATGGAACAATACCTACATGTATGTACAAATACATGTATGTAAGTTGTTACAATGTACACAACACAGCAACTTACATGTGAAGCAATCTGGAGAAGTATTTTCGTAACTCCTATGAAAGACAGAACACAATATTATACAATAATTGTATGATTGGTATATATATTAGTATATGATTACAACTTTTTTATCTCAAATTTTTAACCAAAGCTTGAGCTCTAGGGCGTCCGACAAAAATTACGCTGTCTTTGAGTTTGAAAAGCATTCTTTTGTGACACTTTTGGGCAGACTGTTGTCCACACTGTAAAAGAATTCATGGGTCACAATGTGTCGTGTTAAATGATGAAAAAACACATCAGTGCCATTGGTGTACAAGAAAGAAGGCTACATTCCGACAGTGATACACATGGTTGAACTTAGCAGAGGCGTAACTACCAAGGGGGAGGGGCAACGGAAAGTACACAAGGGTAAAGGACGGCACAGGGGAGGGTACAGGGGAGGGTACATGGCCCCCAGCCGTAGTACGTCCCTCCTCCATATGAATGTTGAAAAATACAGCACTTGATGTATAAGCCGTAGATAATTTGCTTTCAGCATCGAACATTCAAATTCTCTGCTCTATCAGTCTATGCTTTCAGGGCCCCATTGAAAAAAAAAAGGTGCAACCCCCGAGGCCTTTCCTTCATCCATGGTGCAACCCAGGTGCCCCTCAGGAATATCCCCCCCTCCCAGTTATGCCACTGTTTGGAAGTGACAAGACTGACTCGACTGAGTGACACAAGCAAACAGAGAGTCGTCTTCAGCATACTGCCACGGAAGTGAACAACTCTGTCCACAATGCACAACGGATGGTGCACAAGTCCACAATGGATTAATACACTAACTATGCCACTGTCCCAACTGTGTCAACGACACTTTATCCACCCAGGTTCTAACTTTGGTTGGAAAGAGACACCTTATGAGCAAAAGGGCACGGGCAAACAATCATGAACATTTATTGAGATTAAAGTACACATACACTGTAACTTAGAGAAAAGGAACACAGTGAGTGAAAAACTGACTGCTTCCAAGAGGAAAGGGGCAGAGGAGGAGAAAGCAATATGAACATTCTCACAATTTTATTCAACTACACTTTTATCACGCTTATTCTTTCCCAGTTGGGAATAACAGATCCACATGTACTTCCATCTTTGTCTGTGCATCACATCTAGGTACATATATATATGTTACGCCCCAACTCTAGCAAAAGTCCCAACTATAGTTGGGACAACCCCAATTGTAGTTGGGCCTTATGCCATAGTTGGGGTGTAACATATACACATAGGAGTACAAAAAGTATTGCTTATGCACCAAAATGTGGCATGGCCCTAATATTGTGGCACAGTTTGATTTTTTTTGCCTGTAGTGCCTCGCTAGGGCAATGTTGTACATCAAATTTCACAATGAGTGACAATTTACCAAGCTCTCAATATTCCTATTCATATAGGCCTATATCGAGTTTATGGCCCAGCTACAAAGTTCAAATGGAATTTGATTGGGGCCTGATTTTACATTTTCTTTGAGCTTGAAGTGCAAAATTAACTCTTTTTAAAATTTAAAAATGGCATGAACAGGGCCAAGGCCTACATTATCATACATGTACAAGAAAATAATTTTCAGAAAGAGTTCCATGACATACTACTCATAGACCGAACACTTGAGGGCTCGAGTACAAACCTATTAATTAATGGGACTTGTCTAAAAAACCTAAGTGCTTTCTAAACACTTTGGAATTTAGTTAATTTCACTTTTTAGGACGTTATCAATTTTTGACAGCTGTTAGCGTGGTTAGTCAAAGCATGATCAAAGGGAAAATTAGTGATGCCTGTACACGTGGTATATGGAACTCTTTCCTACAAAAAAAAAATTGCAGGCGTAGCTGGCTATGTAAGTGTAAGTATTAATGGAACTCTCCAATTATTAACTAGAACTTTGAAAAACTCCATAAATGTTTCTATGGGATGTGCTGAGATGTGTGTAACTTCAACTTCAAGTGCGCCAGGGAACACTCCCAACTGAGGTTAACCTCTGCCCAATTTCCGGACGCCGCCGTTTTTTAATTTCGGACAAAATTTCAAGACACTGAACTTGTTCACAAGGGCTCAACAGCATTATTATAAAGATACCAGTACCAATATTTTGCCAAATGAATTCGAAATTTTTCAAGAAAGAGGTTTTTGGCGACACTCCATGAGAAAAGTCATGAAAGCAACTACAAGCATGTCTAAGGAAACGTCGAAGTGCGCCACTTCGATGTCGATCGGCCACAACAGCATTTCTGACAGTCACAGGCCGATAATGACAAAATTATCAATTTTTTTATGGTAAAGGACTTACCTCAACCATTTTGCTTGTATGTCAAACTAAGAAGAACAACATCAAAATTTTTAACTCATTGTCACCACTTTTATGACTTAATAGAATCGAGAAAGTTTCATTTTCCAACTCTCTCCCACCATTCCGAATTTTTTTCTGAAGATTTAACTAACAGCGCCCTCCAGGTATTTGCACGTGATTTTTATGAGTCCCAAAGGAAGCCGCTGCACTGGCTGACGCCACTTGACTCGCAAACATCTAGACTTCTTTCACCGGGCTGAAATTGGCACGAAATTCGGGCCGGATTTTCGGCTGGCCTGATTTTTGGCTGGACGCTATTTTGACGGCTGCAAGCAACCCTTCACGTAACTGGCTAGGAATTCTACGGAGGCCGATCACGGCATAGCAGAAAGAGCCCATAAACGTCCACAAACAAATTACAGAAAAAAAGCAATGTCAAATAAATCCTTCCCTGTAATGTATCTTAGCTGTGAAACAACTTGAACAACTGAGATTTTTTTTTCACCAACAGGGAACACAGACGGAATGTGTGCTTCATGCAAAATGGATGAGGCGCTAGTATAGACAATGATGGCCTCAAAATAATGCCTTCGCGAACAGATTCGCAATTTGTATACTGTCAATTTCTCTTCTATTAAGGAAGCTGGAGGCACATGAACTCGGTAATTTCTAAAGAAGTATGGAATTTAATGGCAGAAATATAAAAGAGTGCCGGAACCTGTTTAGAAAGTGTGAAATACGAAAAAGCAAAAATCGAAACGCTCTATAACATTGGTTTCAAGAGTCAACGCACCCGATTAGGAACAAAGACGGGGAAAATCGGTTTCTGGGCTGATGTCCGTTTTCAAACGATTTTGTACCGTCCTAAATTTCAAAAAAATCTGCTTTTCTCTTAAGGAATGTGTAGAGGGGACCCCTGGGCACACTTAATTAGCACCCCGAATGATTCGGCCAACAGGCTGTCCCAGCCCAATTGATTTCAGAAGTCAACGCACCTGATTAAGAACAAAGATCGGCAAAATCGGTTTCTGGGCTGATGTCCGTTTTCAAACGATTTTGTATCATCCTAAATTTCAAAAAAGTGCAATTTTCTCTTAAGGAATGTGTAGGGGGGACCCCTGGGCACGCTTAACTAGCGACCCGAATGATTCGGCCAACAGGCTGTCCCAGCCCAATTGATTTCAGGAGTCAACGCACCCGATTAGGAACAAAGACGGGGAAAATCTTTTCCTGGGCTGATGTCCGTTTTCAAACGATTTTGTATCATCCTAAATTTCAAAAAAGTCTGCTTTTCTCTTAAGGAATGTGTAGGGGGGACCCCTGGGCACACTTAATTAGCGACCCGAATGATTCGGCCCACAGGCTGTCTCAGCCCAATTGATTTCAGGAGTCAACGCACCCGATTAGGAACAAAGACGGGGAAAATTGGTTTCTGGGCTGATGTCCGTTTTCAAACGATTTTGTACAATTTTTGTTTAAAAAGTGTAATTTTCTTGAAAGGAATGTATATGGGGATGCTCCAAGCACACTCGTTTAGGGCCCCGAATCGCTAAAATGTCAGGGGGACAGGCTGACCTAGCAATACCTACTGGGTATGCTCTTTGAGTGTAATTATTCCTTTTCAAACAGGATGGAGGATTAGTTTTCCATAAAATGATTTAAAAGTCGACTTCAAAGGCATACTTGACCTCGGTAATTTCAAAGGGCCATTGGTACATAGTTAAAAGGGAAACTCTCCAAGGTTGCCCCTGTAAAAGTGGTTTATCTACTTTATTCTTGACTGACCGCCTTCCTATACGAACAGTAAAGTCATTGAAACAAAATGCAATGTCCTCACAATCTACAAGCAACAGTCAAAACTCTTTATTTGGTATGTGACAATTTATTGCTACTTAAGTACAACTGTGTTTGCCTTTATTTAGGTATTAAAAGGTTAACCTAAACAGAAATAGTAACATTGAAGACTTTCCTAAAAACTTGCTTGCTATACTTACGTAATGAAGTTGCTCAAAAGGCCTACTGAACACAATTTCGAATAGCTGAAATTTTCTTTTAAGAAATGACAAAAAAATTGACCAGAAGAGGAACATCGAACCAGTTCATGATGCAGGTCTGCACTTCCTGTAAGGGTAACTGGTAAAATATACACCATGCTCAAACCACAAATCATTTTTGCAAGTACATGTACATTTGCTTTCAATCTGTAAAGTGCTTCACTTAAACTTAAAGGGGAAATTGAGATATTGTTTCAACAAGGAATATTAGGTGGACCAATTATTCCAAAGCTTAACAAACAGTTAAATGATGACTTGAGTTAACTGTTGAAGAGTTCAATATTGTATGGAATAATAAAATGTCAACTCACGGGAAACACAAAAACCTTTAAAATTTTGAAATGAATAATACAATTAGGAAGGAAAGAAATATACAGCTACTAGACCACAACCAGTTTATAAATCAGTGTTGAACATATTTATTTGCATTTAAGAAATACGGAGAAAAGGCAATTAGTACACGACTACTGTACATCAAATTGGCGGAAAAACTGTTCAACTGAAATGATTTCACATGTTCTGGTTCCACTATTTTGTGTATGCAAACGAGGTGATCATGACGCCGAGGGTTCATTCCGAAAAATGAAACACAATTAAAATAGCCACTTTTACAGATCAGCCGAGAACTTTTTGACGCATTTGTTTAGATTGGGCAAAAATGAAGTTGAACATATGATTTCTACAAAGAGAGTGTGTGGGCCGTTCCCTAATTTTTTTTTACCTCGAGCAAATATATCGACGGTACGAGGGAAGTATGTACAACATTTGTCGCTTTCACAGTTAGTGAAACATGAATAGTTCCCTGATAGCTAACATAAAATTCTGCATTCATTTAATTGAAAATGCTTCCATAGAGTTGACTCAATTCCGTAATCACACACTTTCGCTCTTTGCACCGCACACATCGTTACGTACGCTCTCAAATCTTTGCTTTTGTCACTATCTCGTATTCCACGTTGTTCGAACGCTGCCTGCTCTGCAAACAAACAACAGTACACACCACAGCTTGCAGAATCACTTTGCTGAGCAACTGGAAGGATATCAATAGGATGATCGTATGTTAGTTGCGGCACGTCTGGGATGACATGACAGTGTTTTTGTTTAGCGCCTGTGTGGAAAAAGTTTTTGAATGAGTCTGCGTGTCGCTCTGTTTCCGCTCTAAGTTTAAGTGCATAAACAGTGTCTAAGCACATGGAATCATACACAAACATGTTGTCTCTGTTTTGATCAATTACGTATAAATTAAAATGCCTATCGAGCAATAGAGGGCACAGAATCAATTTCGGTAGGTAACCAAAAACATCGCACAATTTCTGTACAGCTGTATAAGTAGATTTCCTGACTGTATTGTTGACGATTGCCTTTGTTTCAGAGCATTTTAAGACCCCACATGTCGTAATAACAGAATCATGATGTACAACTTGTTCCAAATAGAAATCCACAAAGAAACCGCTTATCCACCCTTTATTGTAGCCCGGATCTTCTTTTTGGATGTGTTGCAACAATGCATCTGATACTTTTTCATTCAAATGAGCTAGTTGAGGGAAAGTTATGAAACTTTTGCTTGTTTTTGACTTAAGCGCAACATTGTTAAGGTTGTTGTCGTCTATGTAGCCCCACATGTCATTCACAAACCGTTCCCCATTTGAATTGAAGTGCGTCATTGGTTCTGTACTTGTGTTGCTGTTCCAGAACCTCGGTACATATTTATTTCGTGTACTCGATAAGTAGTTGTGATCATTGTCATTGTTTTTGGATTTTGACATACCATTTTCGCTACCTAACTCAGATACCGAAACATCACTGATGGGGTCAGCAACCTCTGCATGTCTTGTGGGATATTCATAACTGCTGTCACTGGCACTTTGTTCTGATATGACAGTGCATTCATTGTCCCTGACCTTTTTGTAGAAAAATAAATACCCGTAGTTATCGGACAAGTGCTTAAATTCTATTGAATTTACCTCACGTACATTTTCATCATTGTATTCAATGATTTTATGTGATGAATTGCTTTTTACCAAGGTCGCATAGTGTCCAAATTCCACGCTTATGCCATAATGTAAAATCATTGAAACCAGGCGATATACTGACTTTTTTGTCGGATCAGAGTGATAATGTGTGAAGTCCAAGTGATCACTTGCGTGGATCTGTCTTATATTTTTTGTGCCTTATTTTTTTTATTTTGAACCGTAGCAATTGTACAATATGTATATGTGGGGCCAAGAAAATGCGCGCAGAGTTCTTCTTCATTGCTTTATCATCCATGCACGTATCGCAATTGAGGCCAATGCAAGTATCGGCCCTGAAATACTCAAAACAACAATCCCTTATATGATTGTGTGTTACCAAAATTGGCAAAACTGATGTAGTAGTTACTTCTGAGCATTCTTTTGTTTTGCATTTCAGACACTGGGTAACACGATTAATTCCAAGTTCTGTGTTTAATTCCGCATCATTGAGAAGGTCGCGTATTATATGTGATGCAACAAATTCTGCGGCATCTTGTTGCTGCATGCAGTTCAGTTCCAACTGGTCAGCGCATGCCCTAACCGTCTTTGAAACACTGCTGTATTTTAATGGTTTTCCACTGACGGACTGAAACAAAATGTCGATAATAGCTAGAATACTTTCGTTTATATGTGTCATATTTTCAGTGCTCGAAACATCCTGTGGATATCTTCAAATAATGGTTTTATTGCTTGAATACTTGCTATCCACCAACACGAAACATTATTATTTTGGATACCAGTCCCCGCGAAGTTTCTATTCACCGATTCTATTTCACATCCTTTATGCACATTGTCGTTTTGGTGTGTTTTGATGGGAAAGATAAGGTTTGAGAGAGGTTGAGAGGTGTGGATGTTTTCACGGTACGCCCTACCACATTTTGCCTTTTTGCCAAAAATTAAATTTCCCTTCGTTTGCATGTTATTTTTGTTTTTTTGGAGGCTTCTCGTTAAATTGGATGCTCTTGGCAGGTGGGGACAGATATTTGCCCTTACTCTGTGGTGTAGAAGTTCGGTATCTCTTCGACCATTTCTCTGAAGCCAGTTTCAGTGACTTGTGCTTCACTTTCCTTTTTTTGGTTGCAAAAGCTGTCCACGAATTCTCTGTGTAATGGGAGTAAGTCCCTCTTGTAAATTTTAGCAAGCTCATTCAGCTTCCTGCACCTGTTGTGAAATAATTTCACCCTTTTG